AACTATTTTTTGACACAAAGAGAAAATTCAAACAGAAACAGAATCTAGCTATCAATACTATGAACATATCTTTCTTTTATTCTAAACATATTATTTCCTGCTTAAACCATCCTCAAAAAATTGTCACATAAAATCCCAACAACAATATAACTAGCTTTTACACATAGAGAATTCAGTCACAAAACAGAATCTAAGCTAGCTACCAATTATACTATATGAATATAAGTGTGTAATATTATCACCAAAAAAAACTTCAAATTAATCATCAGAATCAGAATCACTTATTATTGGCATTGGATTCTTGGCATGTAACACATTACGTTGAAACCAATTCTTGTCCTTAGCTTTCTCAAAAAATGGTTGCCTCAATAGCCTTTCCACATTTGGCCTTTTTCTTGGTTTTTTAGCCAAACAATCCACAACCACCTTCTCAAATTCTTTAGAAAATAGCCTTTCTTCTTCTTTCTTTTTTCCCACTTTATCCTTAAAAAATCCCATAACTTTCTTCATTTTACCTTTTTTATCATTAATCTCCTCAACCAAATCACCCTCTTTCTCTTTTCCTAATTTCAACTTATCCTTAAAAAATCCCACAACTTTTTTCATTTTCCCATCTTTTTTCTCCTCTTCTTCTTCTTCTTCTTCTATTGGATAAGTAATTTCCTCAAACAAATCTTCTAATCTATTTGGCAATTTTTTTGACTTTCTTATTTTGTTGATCATATCATCAAAATCTTCACGATGACTTACTCTTATATTCCCATATGCTAATTCCAATGCTGTAATTCCAACTAACCAAATATCAGATTTAACACTGTAGTAATTCTCAATTTGATCATCAGAATCAGAATCTTCATATATATAATAAACCTCTGGTGCAGCTGCCCATGCAGAAATATTCGTTAGAAGTGGTACCTGTTTCAAAATTAAAATATACTTAGAATATAAATTGTAGGAATAAAAGGCTAATTAAGATAGTAAAAAAAAAAAAGATGAAAACTAACTTAAGTAGGCATTTAATTTGGATATAAATCAATATTTGGCTTACATTCTTATCCATTATAATTTTAACTTCAAGTGAAATTCATCATGTCCAAACATAATTTTGACTAACAAATTGAGAAAACAGAAACTACTCAAAAAAAAAACGAATAAATCAAACTTTGAAATATTAATATTCAACAGTAAGAAGAGGATAATATTCACATTTTCAACCCCAAATATTTATTTTTTCAATTTCAACAAAATATTGTCCAAATGGGTATTATCATAGAAAACAATAAAGTGAACATGCTTAAATAAGAAAGACACACTTAGCACAGATTAAGCACATAATTATTTTACTATATCATTTTTTTACTAACATAACAGAAACTACTCTAACAAAAAAAAAAGAGTAATTAAATCAAACTTTGAAATATTAATACTCAACAGTACCGAAGAGGAAATAATATTCACATTTTCAACATTAAATATCATTTTTTTTCAACTCCAAATATTTATTTTTTCAATTTCAACAAAATATTGTCCAAATTAGTATTATCAAAGAAAACAATAAAGCGAACATGCATGCCTAACTAAGAAAAATCTACTAGCACAATTTTATAACAGACACAATTTAATAGTACTATCATTTTGACTAACAAATTGAGAAAAACAGAAACTACTTAAACAAACAAAAATATCGAATAAATCAAACTTTGAAATATTAATATTCAACAGTACCAAAGAGGAACCCTGATCTTCTCCTTGACGTTCTTGATTAATATTCACATTTTCAACTTCAAATACTCATTTTTTTCCAATTTCATAAAATATCATCCAAATGAGTATAAAGAAAACAATAAATAAACATGCCAAAAATCTTAACAAAAATTAACCTACTAGCACAATTTAAGCACATAATTTATTATATTATATTGACTTATTAACTGAAACTACTCAAATAAACAAAAATCAAACTTTGAAATCAAATTGACGTTCTTGATTAATATTCACATTTCCAACTTCAAATACTCTTTTTTTTTCAATTTCAAAAAATATCAACCAAATGAGCATTATCAAAGAAAACAATAAACTAAACATGCCTAAAATCTAAACAAAAATTAACCTACTACCACAATTTAAACACATAATTTACTATATCATTTTGACTTAACAAATTATGTGGAAAAAAATAGAAACTAGTCAAAAAAATAATCAAAATTAGAAATTCTCAAACTGAATATTACGTACCGAAGAGTCTCCAGCATCTACTTCTTTATTCACTTTGAATTGAAGATCCGAATCATAAACAGCTGCTCCAAAAGCCAATTTAATCTCAATCTCCTCAACAGCCTTAGATTTATTAACAAAAATATTCCCAGCATTGAAATACTTATGAATTCGACCAGAATTATGAATATCCAATAAACCAAATAATGCTTCTTTAAGTGCAATAGCAATACAATCTTCAGGCAAACCATAGTAAAAATTAGAAGAAAGAATATAACGTAAAGATCCTTCTGACATATATGGTAATGCAACCAAATACCCATCGTCAAATCTATGTATAAACCAAGATTCAATATTAATAATATTCCGAGTTGGAATTTTATCTGTTGCAGTAAAACTCGTTCCAATATCTGGATTACCTTTTCTCAGATATTTTACTGTAACATAACCAGTAGAAAACTTATTGGTATGTTTATCACGTGCGTAATATGCAGCTTTGTAAACATAATCTAAACCTGAAATACCGATTACTTTTTCGAATAAGTAAGTAATATCAGTGTTTGGATCTGTGATTAGTCTTCCAATTTTTGGACGATAAGCTCTTGTGATTCTACCCATAATTTGGAGAAAAATTTCTGGGGGTTTTTGGATTGTGAGAAAGATTTTGGGTTTGATTTCAGGTTAAGAGAAATGAAGAAGAAGAAGAAGAAGATGAAGGGTTTATAGTGTATTTATATGATTAACAGAATCAAGAAGTTGAGTCCGAAAAGCCGTTAGAATAGCGCGGTTGAGTTCCGGTTTTCAGTTTTTCTTTTTTAGCTTCTCTTAAATGGGGGGAATAAGAATTGTTATAAAGTCCGTTTAAACAGAAGCACCGACTTATTTTAATTCTATAATTTTTATGTGAGTTTTAATTCTATAATTAGTATAATATATGTCCAAATTGAGGCTGAAAATTTAAGAGTTTAAGGTATATACATTGTTAATGTAAGGATTTGCTCTTTTTGAAATGTATATTTTTAGCCGCTCTAATAAATAACAGTCGATATATATTATATATTTTTGGCTAGCGAATGCAATTAATTTCGACTGAAAAGTCAATTTTGTATTTTGCTCATTTGTATGCCATGAGGTTACTTTTACCAGTTTTACCAAGTAACATTTTTTATTTTTAAGATTATAAATCCCAAAAAGAAAAAAGAAAAAGAAGAAGCTTACTAGAGTTATCCTTGGGTAAACTTTCTATCGGGTTCAATCTAATCTATTGATACTTTCAAATCATTTGAATACGTAGATACACATAAGACTTTCTTGAAGTACATCCTGGTTAGCTTCGAATCACAAGTGAGTCGTGAGTGTACATTTGAGTCTGTATAGTGTAACAATTTTCTTTAACTGACGTATCTATAACTTAAACTCCAAATTTAATAGCTTAACACTCATAATCTAATCCTTATCATTCATTTTGAAACATGAATAATATTAAGTATTTCATGGATGCGTATCAATTATTTCAAATGTAAAATTTTCAAATAATAGTATTATTCTTCAAAGGCTTCTTTTCTTAACCGGTATTCGATACTTACTTTAGAGTCTCAATTAATTTAGGTTCGTATCATGTAAGGGCTCCCCGTTACGAATATTTCCATTCCCAAGGTTTGAGGGATAATTATATAAAAGCTAACTAATGACTAAATCAAATGTAATTGAACTTCACTATATCGATGTAATTTGACATAAAAAAAAAATCAAATTTATTGACCCGCAGTGTTGTTTTCCGACCATTATATTTCTTGAATTTTAGGACTTAGCCACGTTTTGTATTGAATCTCTTTTTTCAATTTTTATTTTATATAGAACCATTAAATTTTAAGCGTCTAGAAATATCTTCAATTTAAAAAGTTGTCGGACTGTATTTGTTTTTTTTGTCGGACTGTAGTTGAAGTACTATAATCGATTAATTTTCATTATGTCCATTTACAAATAAAGGGTACTTGAGATGTGAATAATTTACATTAAGACCCTCAGTAAGTGAAAAGAAAAAAGGGCCAGAAGGACTAAAGCCTGCATTTGTTATAAAAGAAGTTTATTTACGTCTAGAGATTAAAAAAAAAATTAAAAGAAGTTTTAAAATAACGTCTATAGATTATTTAATCTACAATTATGATTTCTTTAATTTCATCCAAATAATCAAAGGAAGCGTGTAAGTTTTATTCCTTAATAAGTTAACTGTGTAAAAAATTCCAACACATAACTAGTTTACTACCACTCTTTGTGGATTACTAATGATGATGTAAACATTTAACTGCAGTTAATTTTTAACCACTTCATTCAGTTTATTAAAGTATATACTTTTTACGCTGGATAAGACTTAATTAAACTTCAAAAGTTTTTATATGAAATCATGTGCAGTTGTAATAATTTAATTTCTAACCAAAAAAATCAATCTATGACCAAATAATGGAGCTAAAAAGCTGGTGAAGATACACCACGGAAAAATTTAATTCCTAACCAAAATCAACTACCAAAATTTCTATTAGATTTATGTACAGGACAAAATCTGAAGCTCCAGACTCCAAATAGGAACTACTACTGGAAGGACAAATAAAGAGAGAGCTTCAACGAGGCAGAACAAAAAGGGTATAAAAAGAAGAAATCAGCAAAAGCAAACTATACACACTGGTTTAACTCTTAGAGCAAAAACATTCTGGCTCCCAAAGATCATATGCCACTTTTGTTATAACTAAGAAATCCCCGAGGATAGTGGGGCACGGTTCAAAACTTGGTGGATAATCGACCTATCATTCTCCACTTAAATATCAAATTTTGTCTACGGCAGGTTTTCAACAGTTGACGTGTGTCTAACTCACTCATCACTCTTACCACTAGACCAAAGGCTTGGGCGCAAAAGATCATCCTTATGAAACCATCAGGAAGATCTCAACTCTTTTGCTAAACTAATCGGACATATTAACACATAATCTACACACAAACCACCTTTAGTATGTGTACAATCAATATGCATCAAAGAAAATCTTAACTTTGCCATGACCGTGGAATCCTTAACAACAAAATCTCCCACATGGTGATGAACCCAAGTTCCTACATTGTCTAGATAACATTTCGACATGGCACATCGACCATCAGACGTCGTTAACTGGCGGACGGTTCAAAATTCGATGGATGGTGAACCCGTCCTTTTACCTTTCTCCACTTAAATACCAAACTTTTATCTGCGGCAGATTTTGAACCCGTGACATGCACCTAACCCACTCATCACGCGTTGCGCTCTTACCACTAGACCAAAGTCTTGGGGGCAAATAATAATGTGGTTGTTATGAAACTATCAGGAAGATCTCAACTCTTTTGCTAAACTTATCGGGCATATTAACACAGAATCTACGCACAAACCACCTTTAGTGTGTGTACAATCAATCTGCATCAAAGAAAATTTTAACTTTGTCATGGTCGCGGAATCCTTAACCACAAAATCTCCCACATGGTGATGTACCCAAGTTCCTACATTGTCTAGATAACATTTGGACATGACACATCCACCATCAGACGTTGTTAACTGGAACTGCACGGGCTTTAAATCCCAGCCGTGAACTTGTTCAGTGTTAGTGATGACTCGACGTCCCAACCTCTTGGTAAATTTGCCAAGCTGAAGTCTAAAGAATACACTATATGTCCCTGCAGGAAATTGGAACTCTAATTCTCCATCAACTTCAACCCACCAGATTTGATGAAGGTAAGCGACAATTCCGAATCTACATGAAGAATAAGAAAAATAAGTACCTTAAATTAGGTCCAATCAACTTTATAAATGAATTAAAAGGGGAAAAAGGTCAGGTTTGTTCCTATACTATCCGAAGTTGAGCAACTTTCTTACTTAACTTTTGGTCTAATATTACCTTGTTATTAGGAAAAAATTTCATTTTTTTTGGTCCTTGACCCGTAATGATGCCCGAAGTTGAGGGTTAGTTTAGATCACATTCGAAAACAGTGAGGCAAATTTGGAACTTATTTGTCAAAGAATTTAAATAACTGGGGTCCACTCAGTTCGTATGGGAGCTTCGTTAAAGGCAAGGGTAAATACAAGATACATCCTTCGTCTCAAATTGTGTGGCGGTTTGCGGAGTTTGAGAGTATTTTAACTGTAAATTTGGACATAAAATTTTTATATTTTTCTGAAATAAAATTACATATTTGAAAATTAAATAAAATTTAATCTAAGTCACAATAAATAATAATTAAAAATATTTAAAAGACATAAAAAATTAAAAAATTATGGTCAAATAAAAACTCATTTGACTCTCAAAATTCGAACACTGCTATATAAATTGGGACGAGGGCAGTATTTACTAACCCAAGAATATAAATTGATTAAAGTTTAATGGAAGGAAAAAATTGAGCAATTTCAGACAGCGCAGGGGTAAAATTAGACTTTTTCCCTTAAAAAGGCTTTCTTTTTGTAATTCCATTAATGTTCATTATATGATTATAAGGTGTGCTTCCATAGAAATAAAATTAAGAGGTCCGAATCACATTATAAAATTGGATATGCATAGCAAAACAGATCATTATCACAACCAAACCATTGTTTAGCTTTCAATCTCAATATATGACGAAAAAAAACTCAAAAACATCATTTCTAATAAGTACATAAAATAACAGGTAAATTAACATACCTTGATTCGTCTGTCGGAATATGATTCCAATATCTCCGATCATCAATTCCGGTAATCGTCATTCCTTTAGCTGAAACTGCCAAACAAACCCCTCCATTATTCTGATCAATCCATACCTCCTGAATTACCAAAAAAAAAATCAACTCTAAGATTTAACATTTCTTTACTTTAATAAAAATTCATAAGCAAATGAAAAAATGGCAGTCCGGTGCACAAAGTACCCCTCATTCACGTAGAGTCCGAAGAAGTGCCGCACTACAAGGGGTACTTTTTAGTTTTATGGGTTCAACATTTAAGCTTATGAGTTCATATCTACTATTTATTTTAATTTTAATATTTTTTTACACATAAATTTATACTCCGTGTCGAAAGTACTGGGTTCAGTTGATCCGTACGGTGCATCCGCCCCTGTGCGTGCGTGTCGGATCCTCCAACAGTGGTGTATTGGAGGATCCGATATGGAAAAATATTTTAAAGAGTTCGGACAACATAACTTATATATCACACGGAGACAAGTTTACCGTTTCACCAAATGAAAACAATGTAAAAAAAAAAACAGACCTTTGTGCCAGAATCAAAAGAATTGGGCCGGGAAAGCTTTGCAAAAATGTCCTTTTTACCCATGCCTGCAATACTCATGGCCAGCAATTCCTCGAGAATATACCGATAATTGGAGGGCAATTTGGAATCCCAAATAAAATCCGCAGAAGAAGCGGCCGAAAAGGCCCGACTAAGACGGGCTAATTTGCAGATTTCTGGTGGATCCAAATAAGAGAGAATAAGAGCAGCACAAGCTTCTGGTATATCTTCAAGCTTAGTTTTCAATGGCGGATGGTTTGAGCCATTAGCAGAGTTTGAGTCTATGGAAGAAGAGTTAGCGCCCATGAGAAGCAAAAGAGAAGTAGAAAAAATGTAGAAACGAAGAGAAATATTGGTTCTTTTTTATAGGTGTTAAATTTTGGGACCTTGTCTCAAATGTCATGTTTGGTATGAGTCGAGGTTGTATCGAAAATAATCACTTTATTTATAAAAGATAGAGGTATACACAATCTTCCCCATATTACCTCACTTGAGTATACTATTTATAATTTTAGCAATTTTTCTACATAAGTTTATACTATATGAGAAAAGTACGGATCGTTCAGATGAATTTGTAGCCAGAGGCGGAGCCACATTGAAGCAAGGGGTGTTAAGCGATATTCCTTCGCCGAAAAATTACACTATTTTTGTAGATTATTTTATTTTATTTTATGTATATTTGCTATGCGTTGATTCCCCTTGACTTTTCGATATATCTAATTATTTATATTTTAACATCCCTTAATGAAAATTCTGGATCCGTCATTGTTTGTACCGGTACTCTACATTCGCCTCTAGTTTATGGGACCTTGCATGTCAGGATTTAAAGTTTACGGGTTCTAGATTTTAGTCATTTTAAGTTATTGAGTTTTAAATTAATAATTTGTATATATTCAATGAATTTCTTAGAACAAATACAGAGTTTAGACTAAAATTAATGGGTTCGGCCGAATCTGTAACTTATACATTGGCTCCGCCGCTGGCTACACAGTTTGTAACTTGTACACCATACATTTTATGAAGAAAAAAAATTCTTAAATTTCATTTCGGATCAAATAAATCAAAATAAATGAGTACATTGTTCAGACCATATAAAGACACTCTCATATCTAACGTGGAACTCAACAAACTGCTATTAAAATTTTGTATTTATATCCTTTTCTCATAAAGAAGACATAAAAACCTATATATATTAAGTTCCTCCGAAATAGAGATGCCATTAGAGAGATTGAAGAAATGAAACCAAAGTGATTTTGTTTGTTTTCCACCCGCACCGCCCCGCATCAACCCGCCCCGCATAAATTTTTTTTCATTTATTATTTTTTTAATGAGTCCTTAATTTCTCTTAATTAACTTGTTATCTAGCTTGTAATATGATTCCCAGGTGAGAGATTTAGATAAATAAGCTAGATTAAAGAAATTCAAACTAATATTCTGTCTTCCCAATCGTTTGCTACTCTTTCGCTTTTGATATGTGGTAAAATGTTTGAGAATGCCATAAACAATAGTTATTATTTTAATTTTTTCACAAATTCTGAAATATCAAAGTTCATTTAATTAAACTGTTGGCTAACTATTCAGAATTAAACTTTGAAGTTTTGGACTAGCATGAAACTACACTCTCTTAATAATTTATCTGGGAACAGTTAGTCTAGAAAAAAAAAACTTTGATAAACTTTGATATATATATATAAACTAATGCTTCATATACCTTCATTCGTGCAAATAAAGAGTTGGAAAGACTGAGAAAAAGTGAAAACTCCATTTTAGGTAATTGGGTTTTAGTTCAAATTATGGGTCGCATTAGATTGGATTTCTCAACCCGCAAACCGCCCCGCCCCACCTAAATTTAAAAAATAATTGTTATAATCAGCCCGCCCCGCCCCGCACCTGCATACACTTAAAACCGCCTCACTCTGCCCCATTGCCATCCCTATATGGGGATATGGGGGTTGACACGGTGGCACTCAGTGCCAGCTCCAATGTTATAAGTAGTAAGGCTTGTGCCTTATCCCCAAATTTGGGGGACCCCATTTTTTAAAGATAATAAGTTCGTAAGTATTTTAGAAGTAATATTTAGTATTTTTAATCAGTGTTTTAAAAGGCGTTTTTGAGACTCGCCCCGGGGCGAGGCGTACCAAAAATGCCCTGGGGCAATAGTGTGAGGCAAAAGTCTCAAGAGGCGTGCGCCCAGCAATTCGGGATATACGCTCGGGCGTTCAAGGCGCGTTTTTCTACTGAGGAGTAAGCCCTAGAGACCTTTTCAAATTAAAATAAAATTTGTTGAATAAGTCCTTCATATAATACCCAAATTCTCAAAAGTCAGTTTGATAATTACTCAAAAGTTTAAAAGGGACTCAAAAGTATTAAATTTAAAAGTCAAGGCCTTTTTTATTAATTGAAGTCTTAATTCATGGTCTTTCTCAATTATTTATTTTGTCCGCTAGTCTACTAATATCTCCCAAATGTAACGAATATTTAATCTCTTTTACAAATACAAAGAGAACTCCACTCTCCTTCGTAGCAGCAAGTTCAAAGTTCAAATTGCAGGTTAGTCATTTTTTTTGTTCCTCCATATATAAAACTTTATTCTTTTAAACTCAAGTTACTTGTGCTTGTAAGTAGCGTATAATAGATTGTTTTGACTAATTTTTTGCGGGGATAGAGCATATGTATATATATAGTTTCTTCATTTTTTATGCAAATTTACCTGTTTATAAATATTTACTGTCATTATATTATTTTATAAAATATTAAAAATTAAATACCTATGGGGCTTACTCCCCGTGCCTCGGGGCTTACGCCTCACTAAGACATGTGTAAAACGCCCCGTCTTACGCCCACGCCTTTTAAAACACTGTTTTTAATACAAAAGTAGAGTTTTTAATATAAAAGAATTTTTTTAGATATATAAATAAAGTAACGATTTGACTTGCTTAAAAAAGATAGATGAATAATTTTTCCGACGTTTCAATTTTTCCACTTTTTACTCCATTAAAAATTTTACTCTCTCATCCTTAATTTGTCCAAGTCAATCTTTCTGTTTTCTAATCTTTTTATATTTCAGAAACTCCTACATATTTTCTGTCTTTCTCTTTGATATTTTTACTCACCTTCTTTCTCCAAGCTTTCACTTTTCACCTTCTTTCTCCAAAATTTCATTAGTTCAAGTGTTCAACAATGCTTTTAAGCTTCCAAATATTCTATACTTCTATTTCTCTATAAAATCTTATCTAAGATCAACAATATCTAAAGAAAAATTAAATGAGTTGGCTATATTATCAATTGAAAAGGAATTATAACAGAAAATCGATTGTAAAAAAGATAATTAACAACTTTGTATCTCAAAAAGTTAGAAGAATATACTTCAAATTAAAATATTTCTTATAATTAATTTTTTTTATATTGCCCTTGGAGTAAATAGTGTTTGAGTATGTGTTAGGAGTATTTATGTGAAGAGATAGTAAATGTTAATATGGTCAATTTTATTGCTAATTAATGTTAAAATATGAATTTCTTAATCTGTGTGAAAACAATCAAAAAATCATTTATTGTGGACCGGATCGAGTATTATTATCTAAACCAAAATACCTGATAAGTGCCTTAGCGTATCAAGCTGACTGCTTATCATCATTGCGTGTCTTTAACGAATTTAACGAGCGCGTAACGACCCGTCCTACAATCCATGGCTAATCGGATAAGAATTCCCTCTCTTTTCCACATCCTAGTCATACACCCTTTTCTTCTCTTTTCACAAACATTTATTTGGTGCACATACCAAATTTGGTTAATTTATGTGGTGACTAACAAAGAACGGATTAGTATATATATATAAATTCCTTATTCTAAAAATGACGTTTTTGTCTTTAAATAGTTAATTTCCTTGTCATTGATGCACATCTTATTATTTTAATACTCAGCGTTACCTACTAACGATTTTTTCATAAAGCTCGAACTCGAGACCTCTGATTAAGGGAAGAATAATCATACCCTATATATATATATATATATATATATATATATGCCCCTTGCCCCTACTTAAAAGGTGATTCTAATTGCATATTTTAATCAATTTCCTTGGATGCTGCAAAGTGCAAATACCACATACATTTTGGCCATTGTTTGTCCAGATGATCTAATAGCTGGGAGCCAAAATAATTGGATTCTGGCCGGTACCAACAAATAAAGAAATCTTCACGCAACTAGACGATCGTATTACCGGTTATTTTTTCTAACTAATATATAATTGATTATATATGATTATAAATTTATTATACATATATTATACATTCGTAGACTATTTTAGTTTAAGCGGTTGAGTGATGGACGACTATTTATGTTAATTCTTCATATATCATATGTTGAATTAAATGAGCATAAAATTGACAAAAATGTAGTAGATCTAGCTAAATTCTTACCTTATATAGAGAATATAGCTCCTTTATCCAAATGAATAGTGAGGAAAATTTCTTATGGTCATCAATCAACTAAACATAAAATATTCAAGATGGTCCATCCTTTCCTTTTCACATTGCACTTTATCTTCCATTAGAGAAAAAGTGCTAGTTTTTTATTAGCATTAAAAAGTTATTTTTGCCTTAATCACTCTACTCACCACAAGTTAGTAGTTTTGCAGCTTAAATTAATTGAAAAGCAACAAAGTAACATTTTAATAATCCCAATTGAATTTGGTAATGAGTCATTTGCATAAAGACATTGTACATAATGACCAAAATCCACAATTTTGCATGTGTACTTGAGTCAGCAATGTTTCTTGGCCACAAATTTCTTCCGATCCTATCCGCTAATACGTAACGAGCTGCTGGAATAAACTCCAATTCACATATGTGCTTGTGGCGAGAGAGGGATTCTGAATTTGGCTCGATAAGTTCTATTTTTGAGGTTCTTATTATTGAATTCGTTGTTAGGTAAATTAAAAATTCAAATAAAATTAATTTGGTTTTTCAAAGTTTGGTTCACTCAATTTTTGGTTCGATTATTCACGATATTATTATGGAATTTCACCTTTTTAAATTCAAAATCCATAATATTATAAATTCTAAAAATTAACTATTTTCGATGATTTTTGAATCCGTGATATTTTTTAAATCTGTTGCTATTTCCTAAATACAAATCTGGAAAATAACTATTTTTGAACTTTACCCACTATTGGAATCATTAAAGCACAAACCAAAAGGGGAAAAAAAAGAAGGAATACTCCAAAGGTTCTTTTCCTTTTCATTATTTTTTGTCTCTCCCAATTGCTTCTATGGAAGCTTTGTTCTGACTCCACACTCAATTCTGTCTAGAATTTGTTTTTGAAAAAAAATCCAAAAGGAAAAAAGAAACCTTTAGCTTCATAATTGCTAATTTGACTTAAACGCATATCGAATTGA